AGCTAAATGAGCTAGGGTATTTATAGTTGAAACTTTAAGGACTAATTTATAAATACCCTAAATTTTAGGGATTAAATTTAGTAATTATCCCTTTATTTTTTTCAACAATTTGGTTGCCTAAATTTGACTATATTAGCCGCCCAAAACCATTTTTCCAGCCGCCTCATGTGCTTTGATTTTCAACATAAACTTGATGCTTGTTGGGCCAGCAACGAGGCATATGCTTCGATTATGAAGACTCATTGGACTAGTACTCAAGGCTCGGTGTTGGAGGAAATTCAACCTAGAGACTTAAAGATCCAGAGCAGATTGGCTCAAAAATGGCGATAGGAATACAAAGTTCTTCCATACTAGAGCAAAACTTTCCTCTCTCGTTCTTTTAGACCCGAACCTACAAGTTAGATCCTCAACACTATTAAAAGATGCATTACATCAGAAGCAAATGCTAAACTCTGTTAGAACTTTATGTTCAAATAAGTACGAACAACCTTCTCCCAAATCAACCCCAACAAAGTTCTCGGGTTAGATTATATGACTGGCTCAATTTTTTGTTCCTTTTGCCATGTTATTAGGGATGATGTCATTTCTTTATATCTTGGTCTTCTTAATAGGCATGCTAATTTTGATTCTGTTAATCGTACGGTACGGTTATTGTAATCATTCTCAAAATTGATAATCCAAGCTTAATGAAAAACTTTCGACCGATTAACCTTTACTTGGTTATCTTAAAGCTGTGTCAAAATCCATTATTAACCAGTTAAAATGTATTATGCCCATATGTATTTTTGATATTCAATCCACCTTTGTGCCTAGTAGACAAATATCAGATAATCTTTTAGTGGCACATGAATTGTTACATTATTTTAAAAGTCCGAACAATAGTCCTAATAAAGGGGCAACTCTAAAACTTGATAAGGAGAAAACGTACTATAGGTTTGAGTGGAATTTCATTGCTAAAGTTATGCGGAAAATGAGTTTTGATCCTTCTTTTATCCATCTTATTTTGATATGCATTTGCATCGTTTCTTATTGTATTAGAATTAATGGTCGACTCTCGAGGACTTTCAAACCAGAGAGGGGACTCCGCCAAGGTGATCCCTTTCTCTAAATCTTTTTCTATTTTGTGCGCAGAGACTTTCTGCAGCCCTTCTGTTTGAACAACGTAAATGTTCTATTAAAGGTTTCCGAACAAGTGTTAGAGGCCCTCGGATCAATCATCTCTTTTACACTGATGTCAGTCTTCTCTTTTTGAAGAATTCTATCCCGGAAGCTGAATGTTTAAAGAGAGTTCTCGACTTGTATGAGACTGCTTCGGGGCAAAAATCAATTTTGACAAGTTCGTTATTTACTTTAGTCCCGGAACCTCCACTGAAAAGTATAGACGGATCAAGAATATTTATTGTGTTCAAGAACAAGAGTCTCTTGTTTTTTATTTGGGTCTTTCCCTCGCAATTGGAAGAAGTTAATACCTTTGATTTTATTAAGGGTAAAGTCAGCAATCGTATCAATGGGTGGACAAGAAATCTACTCTCTTTTGGTGGTAAAGAAGTTTTGTCAAATCAGTGGCTCAAGCTCTTCCTACCTATATTATGTCGTGTTACCTGGAAAGCAAAGGAGGCTCTTAGACACGAGTTTTTCTAGCGGATAGGTTTTAATGGGACTGCTTGCATCCTTCTCGACAAATGGGGAGGCACCAAAACAGTGGTTTTCTCATCGCCATATCTTGATAATCCCGCACAACCTCTGTTGGTCAAAGAATTCATTATCGATGGCCAACCAAAATGAGATTCTGATAAGAAGATGGTTTTCCAAGAGGATGATGCGGCAAAAATCCTCAATACGATCATTTCCCCGACTAAGACCTACTGGATTCTATGGGAACATCATGATGGAGGATGATTCTCGATCAAGTCAGGCTACAAGCCTACAACTGTCTCCTCATGAAGAAAGATATCGCCCGAGATTCGTCTAAGATTTGATGAACGATGAACAAACTTCCTACTCTCCTAAGAATTAAGCTTTTTGGCTGGAGAGTTTGCCACGATGTTCTCGCAACGGGAGAGAAGCTGCTGCAAGCCGGATTAGGTGATGGTCTCTGCCCCATCTGCAAGCAAGCCGTTGAAACCTCATTGCATGCGTTAAAGGACTACTGTCAGACCAGGAAAATCCTTGAACTCTTAGGTTTGGAGAATTCACTTATCTCAGATTATATTCTCTCCTGCAAAAATTGGTTTAATAGGGTTGCTTCCTCTGTCGATCAAGATGGTTTCACTTGATTTCTCTCTTACTTGGAATGTTTGGAATCAGCGTTCAAGCTTACGTTGACTTTGTCTCAACCCAGTTCTTATGTGAATAGTGTTCCCCCAAGCTTTATTGATGCAGACATGCTGAAGGAAATATTAAAATCAATGTTGATGGAGCTTTTCGACGAACTTCGGGGGAGGCAGCAATCGACATTGTAGCTAAAGACCACCACGGGATGATCATCGGAGGCATGTCACTGAAACTCAACCCCCCAAAGCCCGACTCTGGCATTCATTTTCGACATTCGAATGGTTGCTTAACAAGGTTGGAATCTGGTGATTGTCGAATGAGATGCAATTTCTATCTTCATGAATAAAGATTTCTTTTTTCTTGAATTATTACTTAATTATTATTTTGAATGATGACAAGAATATTACCATTTTATATTAAATAAAATAATAATTATTTTGAATTTTTTTATATATCAAAATAAATAATTTAATTTGAAGAAAAATCATATATTACAAACTATACATCACTAAATAGGAAATATCAGTCTTAAATGTGATTATTTTTTAATTAATCTAAGATACTTATAAATAATAATTTTTATTTAAAAGACTTTTAACTATTTAATAATAATCGTTTAAATATCAAATAGTCATTAAAGATAACAACTCCATATTTTACTACATGCATGGTAGAGTAGTTAATAATATATTCATATTTTTTATCACAATCGTATTCAAATTATTTTTTTAATAATAGGAGTATCTAATTTTATTAAAAAAATATTTAAAATTAAATCAAAGTATATAATCCTAACTGTAAAATAAACACATAATTAGGACATTCTTCTATATTCATTAACGTAAGAAATTAATCACTTCATACAAGAAAAAAGTGAAAAACTCATCAAAAAAACTCGAACAAAAGATAAATACAAATATATCTTAATGCATCAACAAACGAACTACAACAGAGATCAAACTATTGAAAGACTACTACAAATGTAAATCTAAATCAAACATCGTGAGAAAATTATCTACAAACTCATACCACGTATTCAAACCAAATCTGATGGTCCAACAAATAATAACAAATAAGCATCATCTTAATTAGTAGTAACGACGTTAAATCAAATTTTGATAAAAAGTAAATAAAAAAGTCAAACTATCAATAAAAAAAGTCAAACAACAAAATAAATTTATTAAAAATAAAAAAAAAATAAAGATGTGAGATAATCGACCGTACCACCACCAAAATTGATGTTGTTGCCTACAGGCCAAAGATCAAAAAGAAAGAGCAAGCGGGGTTAATCAATCTAATTCAAATTATTAAATTCGAATTACATGTCATAACATATTTTATTTTATTTTGTTCCGAATACTAAATATTTAATATACTGTACATAATGAAGTAAATTTCAATTTATGTATGTTAAAAATACATATTTCTTAAATAAAACCTTAGTTGATTCCATTGGCAGCTATATTAAAAAGGAGCCAATAATTACTCAACACCTTTGGCTTATAATAAAAAGAAAATACTTTTACGAGGAACACTTGATTTACATTACAACTTGATACATCCATAAATATCTTTTAGGGTGGAAATACATACGTTAACAACGTAAAATTTTTAAATGGGCATCATCTATAAAATAAGTAATTAATCGAAGAAAACTCAAATTTTAGAGTGGACATGAAAAATTTCAAGATGAACACCATCAGTAAAATAAGTAACGAATAGAAGAAAATTCAGATGGCAGGATGGGTACGTATTCACTCCACCCTCACCAAGATGCGGCTCCGCCACCGTATATGGGGAAAAATTAGAGTCAACTTACTTAGGTATCAAGGTTCAAAACTGGCACGACAGGGGAAGAAGTTTGAAGCTCTCAAAAGTTATTGGAACATGTTTAGATTCTGGTTTATATCATTCACGAGAAGAGATGGTCTCCCATTACTCCCCTTAAAAAAGAAAAAGGCACCTTTGCCTTTACACAATCACACTACAAATTAATATTAATGTTTCGAAATTATTAAATTTATTTAAAAATAATTATTACAAGAAACATATTTATAGATACAATACTCACATATGAATTTTCAACTCTAATAAAAGGTGGATCTTTAATCTTAATTCCTCAATCTTCTACCTAGCAAGTAACCATACAAAACCTCCTTTGTTCTTCCAATAGGGAGCATCCATGAGGATATGTTGATTTTGCTTTGGGGGGAAAATACCCTTTGATTCATTTAGTTTTGTTTCCCTTTCCCTTTTCCTTTTCAGTGGCAATATGGATGATTGTGAGTCTACAGGTGTGGGGGGGGGGGTTCCTATTGTTTATTTATGCTATTTGATGGGGTTGGCATACAGTTTAAGATTGGATGAATGTGGTGTATGATTGAAGTCCTAAAGGTATTAAAAATAAGTTAGTGGATGACGCATCTAATCCTTTAATTAAGTTTAAGAGTTCGAACACTTATGTTTACAAATGTAATAAAATGAGTTAGGTGAGTCATCTCCATAATGAGCCTCTGTAAAATTCATTCCGGAATAGTCGATCAATAGATCGAATATTAGTGGTTAAACAAAAAAAATGTCAAAACTGTAATATTTTCTGTTTCTCGAGTATAGCTTAAGATACCAAAGTCCACAAATATGGATCTTAAGTTCTTAACCTCAGTAACTTAGCAGTTTGGTAGGCAAAGATCAAAGTTTGTAAACTAAAGGAATACTGAAAAGCAATAATAAATATTTCTTTTTCAATGGCCAGAAGTAACAGAACTAATGAACCTCTCCAAGCCTAAAAACCATCGCAGATAACCACTCTTTAAACTATGCAACGTCTCGACAGGTTCACCAGCTCCGACGAGACTCACACATTTGCAGGGCTAGTAATATAGGAAACAACTACAGTGATGTCATCAAGCTTGCCGCCGTTATAGCGGAACCCAGCATCTTGGGCAGCTTTGGCAAATGGTGACTGCCTGTTCTTATCCACCGCTCGTTCGCGAGCCAAAGCTGCTATCTGTTTAGCTGTCGATTCGGGACTCAAGCCAGCTTTTAAAGCACGAACAATGACAGCAGTAACCTCATTGTTGTACAGATTATCAAATAGCCCATCTGTTCCAGCGACAAGGACATCACCTGGCAGAACAGGAATTCTGAAAACCTGGGCATATTTATTCCAAACTGATAGTTAGGTTTTTCAGAGTTGTGATTGGGGAAATAGGTTTAAGAGCTACATACTGATTTTATGGTCAGAAAAGAAAAGAAAAACTGTATGGCTTCTTAAGAAGTTTCAAAGTCTCGAACAAATAAGAGACAATATAAACATGTTTTTGTGTTGTAATGATGCGCACCGAGCCAGTTAAGAAATGCAGCCAGATGAGGTCCAATGGTCAATTTCAATGCTCATCAGTATGATTTTCATAACTCCAATATTAAGGCATTAAACAAACAGGGTGCTAAAAATATCCAAGAGATTGCCAGGATTTTCTATCCCATTCAAAGATATTGCCTTACAGACGGTCAAAAACGAAAGAAATAACACCAAAGCCCTTGTATTCAGGTGGAGTAACGAGCCATCAACTAACCTGACCAGAGCTTGGTAGATCACCATTATTACCACTATCCAACTGATAAGTAAAATTGAAACCATGTTGCTGCACTGGGGAATGGAAGACAGTTGAACCGTCCCTAACCACTATGAAACCACTGTCCCCCAGATTTATTGCATGTATTCCCTGTCAAGAAAAGTAAGTATATAAAACCACATGGACATAATCTACTTGCAAAAAATTTGTCCTTTATAGACTCCGCTACACTAGTTATTCCAAAATGCAATTACAATTAAGGTCGATATATTTTTAAGACGATTAAAAATAAAGTCAATTCCGTAGGAAGAAATTGAATGAAATGATGGCAGTTGATGCCCCTAAGGCTTCCCTGCTAAGTTCAGAGAAAATCAATGTTGTGGCAAGAATTTCAAGTATACGAAACAAAGAAATCATGCATCATACAACTATACCAAGACCAAAATTTAAAAGCTTGTGTGTAGAAAATAGACGTACAAAGTTCAAAACACCAAATCGTTCACATTCAAAATAAAGCAAAATTACTCTATTCGGGGGACCCAAACTTTTGAGCTATCCAAAAAAATCAATAAAAGGCAAGAACTTAGTTCCTGTGATGAAATTGAGACCTAGCCTTCATCAAGATATGTCAAAGAAAATTCCTCTAAATCCCATCTTCTCTCATGCTTATTAACATCGAAAAAAATGATAAAAGACTAGTCTTTGAAAGTGAATAATAACCTCCTCTTTAAGGGCAATGATGCATGCTGTTGAGGATCCTTGTGATTTTGTGCTTGAATGGGCCTTTTCTAATACTCTGGCAGGGTCAATAAAACCCTTGGGTTCATCTTGAATTGCAGTAACTGTATTAGACATAAGTTCACGAGCAAATTCTCCAGCATCAACGCCAACTTCTGCCCAGCCACCTACACCATCAGCTACACCTATGGCTTGTTCATCAGCACAAATGAAGTGAGCATCCTCTCCTCCCTTTTCTACCTTAGCAGGATGCGGGAGATAACATGACCCAGAAACAAGCGTCAAGGTTTTCTCACCTGGAATAGCTCTGAAACCGACACCAAAGAACCAAATTGTCGAGATTTAGTAAAAGTGTCAAAAATGTTTACAGCATATAGCTGGCCATTACTTAAAGATAATTTTCAAAGGAAGAAAAAAGGAAAAAGATTAAATAAAGAGAAGATGAGAAGACATACTGTTCAGGCAAATTTGTAGTCTGCTCACCACTATAACTGCCATCAAACGACACATCATGAACAGCCCTAGCAGAGGATGACAAAGATGAGGCGTGGATACTTTTAATCCTTGGACCAAAAGGAGGATTACATTTGGAGTTTCTCGACGTTGTTGCAGAAATATAGTATCCACAAGCAAAATGGGATTGTTCCTGCTGTCTCAAAAGCATACAAGCTTTTCGGCAACTGGTATGGCTCCGATCAGCAAAATAAACCCCTTTAGGTTTCAGAAAGCCGAAGCCGTTCCAGCAGCTTGCCAATAATTCATCCACATAAACATCTCCAAAAACAGCCTTGGAACCAGACACGGCCATGTTTCTGCCCTGTTACAGAGCTGGATTAGAATAAACCTATTATTGGATAACAAATTACTCGAATAAGAAAAAAGGACCAAGTCAACCCTGAATCCTTTAGCAAAAATTTCTAAGTGGTGGGCTAGTTGAATTACACAAACGAAAGCATATTTCTGCAATTGTCCTTCAAAAACCAGTATATATTACAGGTTGAGCTTAGAAAGCTACACCACACATTTGAACTCCTTATATCAAGTTCCCTTAGTTCAATCCCAATCAGAGAAAATGTGGAACCTTGAACCGGATATAAAAGGTTATACATTTACACGCTTATAACACATATACAATTTGAACTAGTTCTACACTTCTACTCCAATGAAGCATATTTCTTTCAACACAAAAATAGCACACGAAGTTGTGATATAAAACATATTCCAAAGCCTTGTTTTCTAGGTGAGTAGATGATGACTAAGATGCGTCAAAACGCGCTCAAAATTTAACAACAAAAATGAGAAAGAATGGAAAAGGTTCAACTCACCTAAACTAGTTACATAGCTCAAGACTACCTCAAATTGCAAAGAAGAAGCAAATTAGAAGTAGAATTTCTCCTTTTCTGGACAACAAACTGAAGGATTTTGACTTCTATACCCAGTAATTATATTTGAATATACGGTCCCTAATAAATAAAAGAAATATATTACTCATTTTCAACAAAATATAACAGTTTTAATAATCCCATTTCAAAGCTAAAACTTTCAGGAAAACTACAGGCAAAAAGTAGATGAACTTAGGATAGTTTTAATGGAAACGAAATATAGGTAATTGTAAGAATCTCAATGAGAGGAATATAATTCACAAAAATTGGAACTTTTCACAACACCCCATCAAGCAAAACGCAAAAAGGCGTTAAATGAAACCTGTTCAAGTAGCTTGTAGCGGTTAATCTAGTAGTATTTTGATACCTGAACCTTGGCTAAAGCTATTATCGAACCAGAAAAATCGTAAGTGTAAACAAACTATCGAGAGAGAGAGAAGTAAAGAGAAAAGACCCGAAAGCTTTGAGTCATTTTGTATTGAGGTCCAAAGATGTCCCGGATCCGATTCGAATATCTGCTGGGCTTCTGCCCCCCTCTCTCTGCAGCTAGTTTCACTTTCTAATTGCACTATATATCCTTGATTGTGATTTTTTTTTGATACACTTACAGGCTTAATTGCACTGTATATCCTCAAATTATGGTTTAAAGTTTGATCTAATCCTCATACTTCAAATTATAGGTGCTTACAGGCGACATATCGAAAGCTCTTTTTGCCTTTTTGAAGATTAAACACCTTAAATATCCAAGCCAAGTGGGGCAATCTTAAATCATTTATTAGAAAAATCTACACAAAATACGAGGATAAGTAACATTTGAGGTACAAAATGAAAGGTTGATTGGTATGGAATGGACAAGTATTGAACAAGGTCTAAAATTAAGATGAAAGATCACCACAGAACGAAGAGCTTATCCGTTCTTATCTCTTCTCTGTTTCCCAGAAAGAAGGGACATGGTTCAGTGGTGTATTTTACCCTACCAAGTAAAAATATCAAATATTCTACAAAATCATTCTATCTTGAAATTGTCCTTTTCATTTCATAGCTTTGGGACCCATTAATGGCTCCTCCCCAACACCCATTAATGATTTTGCTCGTTCCAATCTGGGAATTGGGTTTTGTTTCAATCGATTAACCCCAAAATGGGTTTTTAATGGTGGCCCGTTTCAACAACAATCGAGAGCTCCATTGATGAGAAGAAGCTCCTTCTTCCCCCTTTTGTAACATCAGAAAATAGTGTGTACATCTGCACAAAATTCAAATTAAAATTGATACTGGTGAATGGAAGGCCCCCATTGCTTAATCGACAAGTCGTTAACTCCACATTAATGTTGTCTCATTATCCACCATGACGGGAGCTTTTTTCCCCCTGATAATTTTTACTATGATGCTATTATAACACACCGTGCAACATCAAAGCATCGCCTTAAAAGGGCTTCGAAGTTGATTTTCTGTACTGCAAAATCAGCCTGGGGCTTTACGACAATGGAAGCAAGAGGACCCTGGCCTAAACACGGCATTTAAAATTCTATTTAAATGAGAAAAAGGAACATTGGCCATTGCATTGTGTAATAATATGCAACAATAACCACGACTTAATATTTTCATGGTAAAATATATAAATAGTCCCCCGATTATAAGATATCGTTTTGTTGAGCGATCGATTATAAATAATATGTATAAAACTTGTAATAATTTTTATCTGGGTGATCATGTCTAAAAAATACGTATGAATCAAATCGAATCACACCAAATAATTTTTACCTAATGTGAAATTTTTTCCATTATCAACACACATAGATACACATGGGTAAAGTATATAAATAGTCCATGAACTTTTAGGACGCTTGCATTTTGGTCAATTAACTTTTGAAATTTGTAATATAGTCATTAAACTTTTAGTTCGTTTTCAATAAGGTCTCTGATGTTAATTCCTGTTAGTTTTATCTGATGTGACACTTAACTCCCATTAAACTCCCCTTCTTCTTCTTCTTCTTCTTCTTCTTCTCCTCCTCACACACACATAAAGTAACTCGTTCACCCCACCTTCGGTCAGCAGTGACTCACACCGCTATCACCATCGTCATCGACAACGCCTCCCAACTACACCCCGACCCTCGATTCATACTTATTGTCCGCCATTTATCCCAAATCGCGAGAAGAATGTTTGAACACTCATCCCCATGCTCCGTCATTAGTCGTCGATGACCTCACCACCAGTACCAATAGGAGCGTCATCCCATTCTAACCAAAACTCCGCTATCCACTTGTCGAGACTCACCTCCGTTCACCATAGAGAGGGCCCTAAACCTCTTTAAAAAAAACCCTTGATTACAATCCTACCCCGAAGAAATCAACTAATTTCCCCCAAATTCCAAAAGTATTTGAAATAGAGACTTCAATTTAATAACACTGAATATGCCAATAACACATACCAAGGATTAAAAATCTGAAACCAAACTATAAATTTAGAGAGAAGAATTAATCTAATTAATTACAAAATTTTGGAAAACTCAATTGTTCTGCTTGGCTTTGTTTGTGGGTATATTATTATTATTATTATTATTGGTTTATGACATGTTAACATGAACACTAGCATTTTTAGTGGATTTACAAACGGGGCAAGTATGAACCGTCGACCCACAACTAGTACACAAGCACAAATGCCTGTGCGGCAATAGCCGCGCGCACGATTCCTCCTTCCTGCAATTTCTACAGACTACAGATACGATCGGCACCCCTGTCTTTATGACGAGATTTAAGGCCCTTTCCACGGCGAACAGGGTGAGTCTCGGTGAGTGACTAGCAGGATTTTGATCGGAATGGGACGACGTTCTTACTGGTACCGGTGGTGACGGTCACCAACAATTGACAACAGAGCTCGAGGATGAGTATTTGAACAATCTTCTCGTGATTTGAGACGAACGGTGGATGGTGAGTATGAATCGAGGGTTGAGGTGTAGACACTGGCGACGATGGTTATAATATCCCAAACTTTGGACTAGTAACTAAAATGTAAAATTCAAAAGTTTGGGGATCAAAGTGTAAAGTTATAAAAGTTTAGGGACTAAAAATATAAATTTTCAAAAATTATATTTTTTGTCTGTAAATGAGTAGTTCGGCCCAAAAATAATATTTTAGTGGGTTTTAGATTTTTGAGTTGGAGTTTGTATAAAAGTCTATTAAATAATAAAGTTCAGTATAATATTCGGATAACCAGATCGAATCGAAAGCTTATAAAAATTTTAGGGGAAGTAGTTTATGGTTAGAAAAATTATATGGATATTTTTAGTTAGTAGAATTTTAGGTGAATCGGTGGAATTTTCATCATAAAGTGAAATAGTATAATTTAGTGACTAAATTGAAATTTTAAAAAATTGGAAGGGCAAAGAAGGACATTGATAAATACGATTTTTATATTTATTTAATATTGTTATAATGGAGATAAAATGATAGCATGGAAGTAAATATTAGGATTCATTAATGGTAATTTTGACTTTTGGGTCAAAATGAATTTCTAATTCAATTTTAATGGGTTTTAAAAGTAAGAATTGGAAGATATTTTTCAAGAAATCTCTTGAATTTTCTTCTTCTCCGGATGCTGGCCGAACCTCCATCGTAGGTAAGCGATTTTTTTTTCATTTTTGATCCATTTTATTGAGTTTTAAGACTAAGATGTGAAATAAGAAAATGTTCTACACTAGTTTATCTACAAATTGGTACAAGTATTTCATTGTTTCATGCTTGAAATGTGAAGTTGGTGATTTTGGTGGATGAAGGGATATGTGAATTCAATGAAATTCGGTGAGTTTGGAAACTAGTAAAGGTTTGAGGATCAATTTGAAAGTCTTGGAAAAAGTATTAGTGATTATTTTGCAAATGTGAAAAGTTGAGATACTAATTTAGAGATAGTGGAGGAATGATGAAAATTATGATTAAATTAAAAGGAAGTGATCATCAAGGGATTAAATTGGAAGTTTATCGAAATATAGGGGTTGAGAGTAATAAGTGCTTAATTGGGGGCAAAATGATATTTTGTGGAAAGTTAAGTAATTAAGGTTAGGACATATTACTCTAAGGACTAGAAATGTTATTTTGGAAGGTTGAAATGAAATGGATTTTTAGTTAAAGGAAGTTGTATTGAATATGCAATTGTTATGTTTTGGTTTTAGGTGAATGCAGATTTAATATGTTAGTTAGATATTAGCATATATTTTGAAATTATTTTTGTCGGATAACTTATTCTCGGATAGATCATGATCGTAACCAAATCAAACCGATCAAAAAGAGAAAAGCAAAGGACCAGAGTGAAAGTAAAATCAACACTAAGATTTACTAGTGAGGTAAAAAGGTGAGTGCATTTAAGTTATTTAATATATTTATATATAGAAGAAGACTTGTGATGAGTCGACATCGGTTATTTAAAAGAAATTTTTTTTAAACATATCTAGAAATTATATTTTTATATAATTTCATTACACTATGCTTTTGGATATGAATTTCACGAGACATTGTTTTCTAATATTTTATTTTTTTCATATGTTCGAATGAATTTACATGTGAATGTTATTAAATTATGATAAAATGTCCAATGTGTATAAATTGAGAATGTGAAGTACAAATGGAATGACATGAGGTGGAGTGATTATATGATATATGCGTTTATATGGCACCTACGGTACAATACTACGAGGCACTTTCAAGTACAATACTAGATCTACGAGGTACTTTTAAAGTGCATATAGCGTGCGCACCTATGGTTTGAATATGAATAGTACAAATTATATAAATTAGAAATTTACAAGAATTTTGTTAGATATTTGATTTGTTTTTATATGATTACATGTGAATTATTCTTGAATAGTTGAATTTTATGTGTTTTAATATTATTTTGATGAGTTTTCAATATTTAATTTTTACACGATATTTTGTATATTGTTTAGTTTTATTTGAATTTTTCTTAACGTCTCACTAAGTAAATACGTAGCGTGTGATCGGTTAACACTTAGGGAAAGTAAAAGAAAAGGTTGTTGATTAGGGAGCATATCAGCATTTACTTTGGAAAATTAGGTTATCGTCCGAATCAGTAAGGACAACTGTTTCGATATTTTGTTTAGATAGTGGCATGTATAATATAAGTATTTTAACTGCTCTAATATGAAATTTTAAATATGGTTTGTGATATAAAAAAATAGTACTGTTAAATTATAGTAATATTAATATGGTAAGCAGCATTTTATAAATTAGATATGAATAGTATTTTAGTTTCGTAAAAATAAATTTTATATTACCATTTCTAATGAGATTTATTATTATAGTGATTTTATTAAAATGGCTGATTTTAAACGAAACAAAAAAAATTACCGATTTTGAATAATATATGTTTTATACTATTGATGTAACATCTCTAGCTTGTATAAGAGAACGTATATGAGATAGGGGTGTTACAATGGTGATGGCGGTGTGAGTCACCGCTGACCGAAGGTGGGGTAAACAAGAGTTATTTTTATGTGTGTGAGAGGAAGAGGAGGTGAAACAAGAGAAGAAAGGGTTTTTAACGAGAGTTAAGTGTCACGTTAGATAAAACTAACGATAGTTAACGTAAGAGACCTTACTAACGATAAACTAAAAATTTGAGGACTATTTATATACTTTACC